TTTGAACATTAAAGCTGGCAGCAACTCAAGCTGATGGGCTAACATACCCATAGGATTGTCACTTTGTTTTCCTTCTCATCGCATTAGCTGCCTTTCTTATTCTTGCTTTGACTGCAGAATAGATGAAGCATTCTGTCATAGGGCTTTACTGCAGGGAACTCGGAAGGGGAAGCTGTTTGCCATGGCTACTAGATTAGTGAATATTTGAAACAGAAATCCAAACTTTGTGTTTATTGCATGCATGTGTTCATGTATCAATATGCATTCCCTCACGGTCTGCCTTCTTCTTGCAGTTCCCACGTTTGTTTCTTTCCTGAAGGAAGTGGAGTCTCCCTATGAGGTCCATGATTACATCAGAGCCTATCTTGGAGATACTCCTGAGGCCAAGGAGTTTGCCAAGCAGTTTCTTGAGCGCCGTGCCAAACAGAAAGCCAGTCAGCAGCGGCAACAGCAGCAGCAACAGGTAAATTTTACTCGCTACAGTCCTTAGGAGCAGTGTATAGAGACTATATTTGAGTCTGAAAGAGGCTGCATTTCTGCTGGATTGATAGGAGGATGAGCAGGATTTTACAGGCCATGTGAAATACAGAGAATAAAGCAGATTTCAAATATTTACTGCAGAATCAAGTTTCCTTTATAACTAACAGTTGGGGCCAACTGTAGATCAAATAGTGTCTTAACATACTGATCCAGGATATGCTTTAGAAAGATGAGGTAGATGTGTTGGATGGATGCACCAGTGGTTAGTGCTGCCACATGTGATGTAGGAAGTGCTTTGGGCTTTCTGAATGTTTTCAATATGAATAAACCAAACTTAATTGCACTTTATAATCCTGCTTTGTTTTCTAGGATTCAGTGTGGGGGATGAACCACAGTTCGCTACATTCGGTCTTTCAGACCAATCAGAGCAACAACCAGCAATCCAATTTTGAGGCTGTGCAGAGTGGGAAGAAAAAGAAGAAACAGAAAATGGTTCGTGCAGATCCCAGCTTGTTAGGTCAGTTTTAATTTTTATAAATTAATGTTTAGTTTGGGAAAAGCCTCGTGGAGTGTAGAATTCCTGTTAACTTTAAATGGGAATATTGAATTTGAGCAGAAAAGGTAGTTGTTGAAGTGTCTTTAGAATTTGTTTCAGTATTACTATTTTAATGATTCAAAAAAACTCTATATCAGTTTCATGGAAAACTTCTGTTGAACTTTCCCCCATGAAAAGGTCTCTCCAATACCTTGGTTATTATCTGGAAACCTTTAGGTAGTTCAGGGATGTCAGTTAAACTGCCTTTCCTCTTTTGAGTCAACCTATGCCTATTTTATTGAATTAATGAATTTAATGAATTAATAAAGCTTCTCGAGGCTTGCCTTTCTTCCTTCCTACTTTTTTACATGAGCTAACCACCCTAGTCAGAAATTATGGCAAAGATTTTATGGAAAAAAAAGTCGAAAAGTGGTCATAAGTTTTCAGTTGGAGGCAGTGGAGATGATGACATCATTAGTAGTCCCTCTTTTATTTGTTTGTTTATTTTTTTATGTTCTCTATTTTAATTTTTATGTGAGGATGGTAGTTAACTAGTCCTTATAGCATTGATGGAAAGGTTTTTTTTTAAAGTGGCCTTTAAGATACAAGGGCATCGTGTAAGTACCTGAGTAGTGAGCATTGTGGAATGTAATATGGCACTGTAGTATTCCTGTAGAATAAATGTGTCTACATTTGTGCTGTGTGATAAAAAGGAAACTAGGGTACCGCACTGGGCTGGTATTTGTTGTGCTGGTGCTACTTAGCTTATGTTCATGTAAAGCAGCCTGGTATTAACCACTTGGAAGTCAGTGCTTTTTTAAGGCTCTGACAGAGCCCTACCTTTGTTTTTTATGTTCCCTTTTTGTTCTCGACAAAATCAATACTCTTCAATTAAATCAATGATTTCTGCAATGAAGTATATTGAATTTTTCAGTGGAATCCTGACTTATGCCACCCCAGGTGCCAGTCCAGTGAGTCTGATATGGGTCTTCAGTTGAATAGTTTAAAAACCTGCTCATGTAATGTGAGATCACCACATACAATTAAGTTGTTGCAACTGTAAGAGAAGTAGCACATGCAGCTTCTTAAAAATCAGTACACTTATTACAAATAATTCCAAAACCTTTTAGGTAACATACTGCCATGAGAGGGAGCCAGAACAATTTGCTTAAACCTACTGAACAGAGCACTGTTTATCTGTTGAAGATAATGACTGTGAAAGTGGTTCGTTTTCTAGCACAGAGCAAGCCTACATAGCAGTCTCAAGACAATGAAATGTCAGGTTTGTGTTTAGTAGCCTTACACAGGAGAACTTTCTCATACTCCATGTGAGGTTGGTACAACTGTAAAAATTGGATTTCAGTAGGAAATTTGCATATGATATATTGGGTTTTTTCCTTGTAGCAAGTGTTCTTGCTTTTTTTGCACACTTTTCTCATGTGCATCATGTCCTCAGCACTTACGATTAAAAGGTTGGGTACAAGTTTAGGTGCATCTTGAGCCATCTGCATAGCCCTATATAGCTTTGTACATTTTCATGTTGTACTCCTGAGATAGAAGACTGTAAAAAAGCATGGAAATACATGGAATTACCACTAGATTTCATAGGTAGATGTATTTAGACGTTAAAGTGAGGGGTAGAATTGCTCACACCCCCTGAAATGCTGAGCATGATTCCACATTGGATTCTGAGTTCACAAAATGTATATTTCTGTCTCTTGGACCATATAAGTACAGTGTTGATGGGCACTTCCAAGTACCAGTTGACTCAAACTTGCTCCTTTCCAAGATGTTGCTGAGCCATGTTGCCACTGTGCCTAGACATGCCTCATACTAGCTCTGCAGATGACATCTTGTGTCAAATGAAAGTTGAAACCAGTCTTCTGCTGATCTGTTTTTAAAGACTAAGTGATAGTTACCTAAATAAACAATTGATTGTCTTTGATTTATTAAGGGAAAAAACAGAAACAGTTTGGGTAATTATATCTCTAGCCTTACTGAATTTCCCTCTGAGTTTTTATTAGATACGTATTATTCACTTTATCTTATACATGCTACTGCATGTAACAGATGTATTGCATCAAACACAATATACCACATTCAGATTTTTAACACAAGTCCTTCTTGGTTTTACAGGGTTTTCAGTGAATGCCTCATCAGAGCGGCTCAATATGGGAGAAATAGAGACTTTGGAAGACTACTGAGCATGTGCAAATCAACTGGCTTTTCCTGCATCTGTTAACCATGGATTCTCCGTTTTGGACACAGTACTCTCCACCATGCGTTCTTCTTTGCCTTGCAGTGAATCACAGAATCAATCATCTCAGGCTGCTTCCTCTGGCCCCAGCAAACCCTTTCTGCCCAGGACTGCACAGGCGTTGTTCCTACTGTCAGCCTAGAGTCGAGTGGACTTTGTTCAGAGTCCTGGGAGGGTGGGAGATAGGATTCATTCACAACAAGGCTGATTTGGGCAGCAAGCTTTCACTGTGCTGTGATTTCTTCTGCTGACATACCTAGGGGGAAAAAAAATATCAATTGGGATTCTGCAAACCATTGCTTCCCTCTCCTGGTTACTCGTACCACATCCAACATGTGCAGTCATGGAGAGGGAGAGAGAGTTTGTGGTTAACAGATGTTGGTCAAAACCAAAATGCCACACAGATACTGACTTCCGTGCTCCATCAGGGCAAGAGTGCTCTCCTAAGCCAGGAGTTGCATTCATAAGCTAACCTTAGAACTGGCAACAGCAGGAGAGGGGTGGTGGTGGGTGCAGTTTAGCTTGGGTTGGTTTGAAGTTGCACACCCCCTGCCAGCCCTTCTCAGCACATTATTTTTGGAGGGAAAGCTCGAGTCTGTCTTCATTAGGTGGTGATGCTGAAGCTGGTGGAGTTCCCCGTTGGCATACTCCAGCCTTCCTGGACAAGTGGGGACTTCTACTCTGGGAAAAAAGGGGGGTGGCATCTCTTCTTTTAGGTTGAATTGATCCCTTAAATGCTACCTTTGGAGGGTTAGGACCAGTTTATTTTGAGCTCTTTTCCTGCAAATTTGTCTCGTTTAAGAGACGGTAGGATCTTTACTGTGTGGATCTTTAGTCTTTGGTGAGGGTGAACACTGGCTTTCAGATATATACCCCAGCAGTCTTAGCTAGTTGTCATTTCAAGCAGTGCTTAGGTTAAGGAGCAGAGATGCCCTTTTGTCATGAAGAGAGACTGTGGAGGGCGAAGTTATGTGCAGTGACAGCCCTGCTTATCTTCTACACCTTAAACTATTTCATGCACCTTCACTGGGATCCATAATCTTTAAGTATTTATGGAATCATAACCTTCCTCTCTCACGGAAATATTAATATCACCTTCCTTTCTCCACCCACCCACATGCACACACACCATGAAAGAAAGAAAATGAAAACTGCCAAATGCACTTAGTTTCAACCCCCTGATCCCATCTCCCATTCCCAGAGAGTTATAACCTGCCAAGGGAGATATGCTGCAGTTCTGGTGGAGTTCTATAAAGGTGACTGTTGTTCTGTCATCACTGCCTAAAGAAAACAGTTCGAGTTGCTCAAGAGCAGTTTGGCTTTGGATTTTATTTTGTTTGGTTTATTCATTTTTTGGGGTCACCTTTCCCTTCCTCCTCTCTCTTCCCCCTGCCCCCAAACATGTACAGTAACTATACAGAGACTGCTGCAGACTTGTATATAGTTTTTGGATCCAACAGCATGGAGAGACTTGGAACTGTTGCAAATCTGGTCTCCCTGTCTCCTTTGCTTTGTAAATTCATAAAAGGGGGAAGAGGGGTAGTTAAAATGTTTACACAACTTTAAACTCCCTCTGAACTTTTGCCAGTGTGGGGGGGAAAAAGAGAGAACTTAAATAAAACCTGGTTGTATTATATCTGAGAGAAAACTTTCTGCTTGCTTTTGTCAAAGCTGAGTTTTGAGATAATTCCTGGTGCTAAAACTGACCCAAAACTCGACTCGCATCAGTTTTCATCAAGAAACAACAAGCAAATACACAGGATGTGGAACAACTGCTGCTTTATTTCTTCCCTGGTGAGGAATACCGGTGGGTTTTTTCTCCTTGATAATTTTAGACTTCAAATAAACACCAGTAAGTTGAGATTGGAAAACTGACAAGAAAGCTTTAATTGCACCCCCCTGTACAGAAACATGTGCGTTCACGCTTGTGAGGTTTATGCAGGAGAGATCAAACCACGGTTAGTTTTCTGTTAATACAAACACTCAGCCATGGAGCCTTTTTTTGCCAGTCAGTAACCACCCCAACCATTCCAATTCCCTTCCCTAAATGAGAGGGTTTATTTCTCCCCCCAGTGTAAAGTCTACATGGACACCCGGTAGGCTTCCCTTTAGACAAAATCTTATTTTCCTTTTTTTCTACTTGCTGCTTGGTTTTGTGTGAAAAATCCCAGTAAAAGATAATGATAAATGTCTGTCTACCATTTACATAACCACAAAGAATGTGAAGTCATTATGCTAAGACCCAATTTACACAGTAACTTTGCATTATGTTTAGGAAATGTCTTGGAGAGAACAGTGCATGTTTAGGCTGATAATTTGACTTTGTTTTAATATCTTCTTTTTTTGTGTGTGTGTATATAAGGTGTCTGGTTCATAAGTTCTTTCTGTTTTTTAATGGTATGATCTAATTTCTACAAGCCAATTTTGGACTACTCTATACTGTGTAACAAATAGGCAAAAGCCTGTTAATTTTCAGCTCAGCCGGGGAACAGGAAAGGAACAGTTCATGGATTGCTAAATGAAAGCACAGAAATGCAAGCAGGGAAAATGTGCAATAATTTGTCAAACCCCTGAGGACCTTGGTCCACTTCTGAGAGTTTGTAGATAAGACCTGTGGGGAAGATCTTGTTTGTAATATTTTAATATTCTGGCTTCTGTATTTCGTACAAAGGTAAGACGCTGGCACGTTCAGATTGTATGCTCAGGTGACTGCCCTGTAACATTCTGTGACAAACAGGGCCTCTTTCTGTAGCAAATGTCATTTGGATCAGTAGGGATGGGAAAAATAGGAGCTACAGCTTTGTATCTGCTGCTGGTTATATATTTTTGCACTTCCAGCTCCTTTTCAGATGGAACGTGAACCTGGAAAGCTAACAGGGCTCTGATCCAAGTTTGACTGACGATGTTGAATTTGATGCTAGAGATGTCTGAGGTTTCTTTTGAGCACATTTCACCAGGTTACTTCCTAACTTGTCATTTTGCTGCAGGGACAGCAGTCACTCCTCTTTGTTTTTCCTGCTTCCCCTCGCAGCCAGGCACTTTTGCAAAGAACTGCAGCAAGCAGAATGGTTTAAAAGGACACCTGAACTCTATCTGGCTGCCTGTCAGAGAAAGCCAAAAAGCAAAGAGATCTTGTAGCAGAAAAATCTGATTCTGAAATTTAAGACAAAACTACTTGTGTCATATTTTCAGAGCATAAAGAACTGACATTGGGGGTGTTTATGTACTTTATTACATGTTTTTCTGAACGGAAACTGTGAAGTATTTCATCCTCATATCAACTTAAAAAAATTCTGGTGACATTCTTCTGTCCTCTGATGATAAGCTGGAGTGTTCCCCTTTTTATACAGTTCATCCTTTCCCAAGTCTCTATCAGTGCAAATGTGATTTGAAACAAACCTCAGTTTTCTCTGCTGTGAACTTTCCACAAGCCCACTTGGAGGGGAGGGACAGAGTGGCAGAGGGTGGCGGGAGGAGGTAGTAGTGTCTGTGCAGTTCAGATCTGAGGAGGATGCTGGTCTTGCCTGACAAAGGTGACTCTCCTGGAAGACTTAACCAGATTTGGACAGGCAGTTCTGCCAGCAGAGACCACACATGGCTCCTGGTTCACCTCTGTAAGTATTATGCCCAGAAAACAAGGATGCCACGGAGCTGCTCTGGCTCAGTTTCAGAGCATTTTAGCCTCCAAAGATTGAGGCCCTTGTTCTTTGCTGCACCCACCCTGGAAAGACCACCGCCGCCCTGCATGCTGAAGAGAGAAAAGCCCTCGAGTGGTCTGCTCGGTTTTGGGGTTACCTGCCCCAATGGGTCCTGTGTTATTTCCCATGTCATGAGGTGGCCGGCTGGAGGGAAAGCAATCCAGGAGCATCCCTGTGTCCTCTGTGAAGGGCTCACCAACAACTGCTTGTGTGTGTTGGCCTGGCAGGGTGACGGATGCCTAACGGCTTGGCTGCCTATGGGGTTTTAGGCACAAATTTTAGAGGGTGGAGCTGCTTTCAGGAGGAGGTGTGCTCTAGAAGTCAGAGTGAGTGAGTCTCTGCTGGGCTTTGCACTCTCTCTTTCCACTTGCTGTTGTAAAGGAATTTTTTTTTTTACCTGACTGGACAAAATTTTTATTATACCAGTGAAATTTCCAAGTTGTTTCATACTTTGAAGAATTTTAAGAATTCCTGCCAATGCTTTTCCTGAGGGAAGCCATGCCCTACCACAGAGTCCTTCGCCTGGTCCTGCTAACGCTGTGCGGCATCCTGGTCCCTGCTGTGCTGGCAGGTAAGCAGCTTTGTTTGCATTTAAAGCCCAAAAGTATGGGAGATCTTTTACTAACCTGCTTCTCTCTCCTTTCCCTCCCCTAAAAAAGGTCTGTAAGTATTAAATTATAATTGATTAATGGAAACTAGCTTTGGCATCAGTGGCTGGTGGTGAGTAAGAATATATTCTCCATAGTTTTTCCTAAGCAGAACAGCAGTAGCACCTACGTGACCATTAGTGGCAGTAGATCAGTAAACAGATGGGTCAACACTAGATGGAGTGGTCTCAGCAGCTGATGGGACAGGCTATCTGTCAGCTTGTAATGGTAGGAAGAGGTTACAATTGTGAAAAGAAACTCTGGCTAAAGCCTGCATGCCAGTTTCTGGTTCCTTCTATGCATTCTGCTACAGCAGAGCACTTCACAACAGCTGCTCTAAGTAGAAATATGTCTATGGAAACATTTAGCTCTGTCAAAAGCAGAGGTGTGCATCTAAGCTGAGTTTGCCCAGAGCTGGGTGTGCTGAGGCAGACAGCAGTGCTGGGAAGGTATGTGGCTCTGACTCTAGTTCATTGAGGTGATTGGAGTAGGAATAGGTGAGACACCTATTCTGTGAGGTGCTGTTTTTTAAGGAGATGGCTAGTAATTGCAGGCTTACCTGCTCTTGCCTTTAGCATGGCTGTGCTGGCTGAGGGGAGCCAAGGGCAGAGCCAGTTTCAAGGGCTGGCTGGTCTGAGGGGGGTTTTACAAATGAAGAACAACTGGCTTCCAAACTGACTCCATAGATGGGCTCTGAGTGTACATACGGGTGGGAACTTCTATGGGGAGCTGCTTCCCTTAAAGCCTTTAAGCAGAGGCAAGGCTGAAGGGATGGCTCAGGCCCAAGATAACGGGCAGAAGCACAGTGCTTGTTTTCCTGAATTCCCGTCTTTCCTTCCAAGACCTGGCGCAAGGCTGGATTGCAGTTCCCTCCCAGTTTGTTCTGAGCATCTTGCCTAGCAGGGGGATCCTGGCTAGCTGTCTAGCCAATGAAATTATTTTTTTGTAAAGGAGCTTTCACATGGGTAGGGGAGTTTATCACAGTGCCTAGCTGGAACATCTGTGGGTGCAAGAACAGGATTACTGTAGCTGGCATTTCCCCCACAGGTCCTCCCCTCGTAGAACACCACCTTGCTGGGAAACCTTTAAAGTAGCGAAGAAACAAGCACTAAAAAGTGGATGTTTTCCTTCTCAAACCCTGAGCTTTGATTTTTGTGTAGTGGAACATAAATTGCTTAAGCATAGTTTCAGTTTGTAGCTTGCTCATGCTCCCAGAAGCCGTGGCAGTGCTCTTCCCCTAAACCAGGTAAGGTCTTTTCTTAACTGCTAACAGTATTTCACTCTTCTACAGAAAGTGATTCATTTCCAGTGAAAATTTAATCTGCTCCCTCTCTGAGCTAGGATTTCCTTTATGCTATTTTAAGTTTCCACTATTTGATGCACATTTGCTCTGCCCCCTGCCTTGCCAGCTTTCCTGTATACTTGCTCTTGGGTCAGCATTGCAGCTATGGTTTGTATCTGTTGCTGTCTCCCTGTGTCACTTTGCTCCTGTGAAATACTCCAAGTTCACTTGATTCCTGTACTGGGTGAGTCGCACTCATGCAGCGAGGCCAGTAGCTCTTGACGAGCTTTGTACTGATGAATGCAACGTTTGGGTCCGGGGGCATAGGAGAGGCTCTGTGCTTCCTCTGTGGCATTTTAGAGGCTTGAGGTCTCTAAGAAGTTTGTTCTTCTCTGCTACCCCAAAGCGGGACATGAGGGAACCAGCCTGTATGGTAAGTCATCCCTGGAGCAGAATGGTTTTCTGCTGCATTTGGAGTGGAGAGTTACCTACCCGCAATACAGGGGCTTTCAGTGCATAGTGGAATTTTTTCTGCTTTTCACCCCATTAGAAAAGGAAATTTCCTGCCTTGTGCAGACAAAGAAGGGAAGGGCACACAGACAGCCCTCTGCTCTCTGTGCATACACATGCAGCCCTGCCTTTCTGTAAACAAGTTTGTTTAACATTCATCAGAACCACAGTGCTCTGTGCTGCTCCACACTCAAGCTCCTGGCGCTCGCACATCACAGGCTGCCCTTTGTGCTCCCTATGAAGGCCTCTTTTCATCCCTGCCCTGGCCCTGTGCCCGCTGTGGCTACCTAGGGCTGGACAGCCCGTTGCTGGCCTCAAGAGTTCACCCAGCCCCTGCCCTCCCATCTCGGCACCTCGTACTTTGCGTAGCAAAGCCCTTCACGGTGGGCAGAAGCGGAGTCTTCCTTGGAGAGGGCTGCAGCTGATGCCAGCCATGCAGACCCAAGGTCCAGAATGAGTCTTCCCTTCCTCGTTGGATTTAATTTTATCACAGTGGGGTCTCAGCTACCTAGTGCCAAAAGACTCTTAAGCGCTCAGGGGTTCAGCGAGACGTGAAGGACCTCACTGGCAGCTGAGGTTCCCATCTGGGTGTAGCAGTCAGAGCACTTTAGGGGTGCTGGTGGGTTGTGTACCTTGATCTGGCTTCTTGCCCAGCCAGTCTGCTTTCCTGGATGGCGTGGTCAGAGCTCTGCAACTGCAGACAGCATGAATTTCTCCTCCGAGTTACTGAGCTTTTTCCAATATCGCATTTGTCAAAGATGGGCAAACAACCGACCAAGTCTTTAACCCTCTTTGTCCACGTCCTCTTGGTGCAACAGGAGACAGAGCCACTTCAAGGACTTTCTGCACACCCAAATCTTCTCCACTGTTGCTTTCTCCAAACCCAGGTGGCACGTAGGCCTAGAGCACAGGAGGTTTGTGAATTGTTGATTTTTATTTTTTTCTATCAGCAAAACCAGTTTCAATTCATAGAATGGATTCAGAGCTCCAAGTGAAGTGGAAGTTAGTAAAAAGCCTTTGCAAGGCCTTGGCTTCTGAGTCATGTATATTTGGTATCTAAACTCTGATGTGAGCTCATGAATTTAATTGTTTTCAGCTAATGTGGAAATATGTTATACTGCAGTAGTACATCAAAATGCATACAGGAGAAAAAAGCAGCAGAGCAGGAGATGTTGTGCAGAAGGAAAATGTACAGGAGAAGACCTTGTCCAAGGACATCTTTCTGTAGTGTGTCTTCATTCTCAACAGTAGGAGAGCAAAAGATTATTAGGAAGTTTTTAAAGTTAAGTACTAGAATGTGAGAAGTAGTAAATAGGTTTTGTCAGGCAAATTTCTTAAAAAAAAATGCGGTTGTTCCAACAGGTCTGTCCAGACTTACAGCAGCTCTTTGTAGTCCATTACTCAGCCTTGCTCTGCACCAACACTCCTTATAAATTACTGACACTAGTATCTGCTCCCGACTAAGGTTACTGGGTTGCAGGTGGAGAGTGAGGACGATGAGGTGCTGAAACCAGCTTGTACAAGGAAGAGTATTGGTCATGGGTGAGTCCTCTCCAGGGATGAATGCGTTAGGCGGCCACATCTGCCTGCCTTGAGGTCTTGCAGTCTGCTGGGGGGAGGTTTTTGTTGTTCGGTTGTATCTTGAAGGATCTGTCAGATTTTATCGGTTTCCTCAAGAGTTGTCACTTGTGGAGACTTTTCCAGTCTTATCTTTCAGCCACCGAGTATCTGGGGCACTGGCTACCATGTCACTATGCTTGGCAGGTCACCCCGCTTTCTTCTCATTGAGCACGGAAATAGCAGTTTCGTCAAGTTCCCTTTGGCGTCATCCCTTCTAGATCTCACTGCAGCCCATGTAGCTCAAGTCCTGCTGGATCCCTGCATCATTCAGAAAACTCATGGTGTATTTCTTTATGGTGTAGTAACTGGATAATTTCTTCCCTTTTCCTGGCCTCAGTTGTAACTAACCTGTGCTGGAGAGAGGGAGAAGACACAATGCAGTATAGATATTTCCCTAAAATAAGGCAATCTGTAGTGTCAACATACGGGAAGAAAGAGGAGCTATCTTCCACCTGGCCTGTTGCAAAACACTGGAATACTTTTAGTTCCTTTTTCCCAGGCTCCATCTCTGCTCAGTAAACCCCTGATAACTAAGATTATTCCAAGTCTTTCTCTTAAGTGCTCCCAAGTTCTGGTTTTACCAAGTGGATTTCACTTGTAGCCTGTGAAGCAACAGTTGCCCTGGGTCTGTGCTCTAGTGCTGAGACAGGGTTAATGCTGGGGGAGAGCTCGTTTTTGCCATGGGGTCAAGGTTTCTCTCCCTTCAGAGCACCCGGTGCCAAGGCACAAAGCCTCAGCAGCGCTGGGGTTACCCATGTGTGTCAGCAGCCTGGTAGCCCTTCTGTGTGCCTGCCTGCTGCCCCTGCCAAGTTGCTCCAGGGCAAACAAACCATGCAAGTGCACCAGGTGGGTTTTCCTAGAGATAGGACTGGTCCAAAGGCTGATGCCACCACAGCTAATGCATGGCTCTCACCCAGATGTTAAACATCTGGTCTTGTGATGGACAGTGTGTTTTGAACATGTTTCTCGGTAGTTCTTTATTTCCATGAAGTTCTTGGGTGAACAGGAAAACCATGTGCTACCTTGCCTTTGATATTTGGTTTCCAACCCTTGACTGTACCCCCTCACTTGAGATTGCAATGCGTTTGGGGTTTTTGCAAAAGTAAAAAATGCTGTGCCCTGCCCCAAAGCCATGGAGGTCCTGTGAGACTTGCCCTTTCCCTGTGAAGGACTGCCACCAGATCTGGAGCTGTGACTTGAGCATTTGTTCAGGCACATAGACCGCATCCTCCTTGTCGCAGTCAGGGTGACAGTAACTGCAGGTGGGCAGGCCTGGCTGCTCTGGTGCTGCTTTTCTTGTAGATTGTATTTAGAGCCCCAGTCTCCTGTTTGCGCACAGAGGAACTGAGCTCAGGAGGGAGAGGGACTTGCGGTGGCCACACAAAATGTTGGCAGCAGAGCAGAGAACTGAACCTCCTGAATCAAGTCCCATGCCTGTACTTAGAGCCTGTCCGGTCATATTCCAGTCACCCTCATGTCCCACTTAGACATGTGAAACCTTATTAATAGTGTGTGTGTGTTGGGCTTTGGTGCCTAACACACACTGTGTCCTTCTCCCTTGCCTTTCTTGCTTTTATCAGAGGACTGAAATGGGAGTGTGGCATTTAATGCTGCTATGGTAGAGATCTGCTGCTCTCAGCCAGTGGCAGCCCTGTGGAAGGGAGCAGGTGTGACTTCCCCATTGTTAAAGAAACCTGCTGGATGTGGGGGGATGGTTGGATGGGTGGTTGGGCTTCTCAAACAGGCAGGAATGGAGGCATGTGAGGACACAAGCTGTTAGTTTAGGAGGGAAAATCAAAGGTGAGTCTTGGAAAGAAAAGTGCTGGTTACAAACAGGCGCTCTCCCAGGCTGCAGCAGTTTGCTCTGGACAGAGCAAACTCTGGGGATGGTGCTTGCATTTGGTGTTGTGTTCCCCCACGCCGTGTGCCTGCTGCAGGGCTCTCGGCATCTGCTGTAGCAGCATTGAGGTGCAAGAACCAAAAAGGAGACCCAGCAGTAAGCCCTGGCTCTTGGTGATGTTCAGATGCAGGTATTTCACTTCATGCACGTGCACGACTGCTGCTGCTTCTGAGCTGACAACTCCTGTTAGTGAGGCACTAGACCTGACTGAAAGGAGTTGTGTTTCCCTTGGTTGATGCACCGTTAAGGTAAAACCACAAGAACTCAGGACAGAAAATGCATGTTTAGCACACTCTGTCCTTTCTGTGAAGGTGAACTGAAAGCATGTTTTAATCAGATGAGGGGCATTAACAAAATACATATCCAGCAGCCATCCAGGACTCTATCCAGGTCTTAAAAATCACTGAGATCATAAACAGATTAGACAGTTTCCTCTTTACTTGGCTATCAAAAATAAGCTCTGTGCCCTGCTTAAAGAGAGCTGCAATAAATTTTTCAGGAATTAGATGCACCCGGCGACAGGAGAGACTATCTGGGACCTGTGGGTCTGGTTAGAAAAAGAGCTTTTGCATTACAGTTGGAAGGAGTAGTGCTCCTCCTCTCCCTTTTGAGAATGGGGAGTTGGTGCCTGTGTCTGTTACAGATCATCTGAGCTAATGCCTTTCCCCTGGTCAGATGCGAGGGGTATGCCCAGCTCTTTTGGCTTTGGAGAGAAAAACATTCCTGGGAAATGCAACAATGGCGTCCTCCCAGCGTGGTATTCTCTTGCCAGATGGGAACGGCTGCAGTGTTGGTGCTGGCCCCGGTGGTGTTGACACAGTCAAGAAGGTTGTAGCTGGAGTGTAGCTCTTCTGTGCAGAGTTTCTCCACTTGCGAGAGCAGCCTGGAACCAGGGCTTCAAAAGCATTACGTACGTTTGGTCTGTGCCTGAACCAAGAGCTACCTAATGCCACCATTGCGAACTAAATGGCTCTGGCTCTGCTTGGTTCCTTTCCCTGTCATTCTAACTACATTTACCCACTAAATTCTGTATTTCCTCCTGATCTGTCCTCTGGTAGCTAAACCACAGGATTTATAGAAGAGAGGTCCACTGGAAATGGCACTTTCTGGAAGAGCCTCTGCATGGGATGTGAGTCTCCAGCTCTGCTGGTTGGTTTTGCAGGACAGGTTGGGAAGGGCCCTGCAAAGGGCTCAGGTGTTTCTGGGGAGCCCTCGTGGAGCACAAACCTCTTGTGTGCTCATACTGGGGATGTGAGATGCTGCCTCTGATGCAGTGACCACAGATGTACCAAGCGGGCGAGGATATGGTATTCACGGTGACTCCCAGCTTCTCCCCAGGGTGGGTCAGCCAGCCAGAGCAGGCTGGTGTTGCTGCCTGGCTTAACTGGCACAGGCCTCAAACCGGGGGCTAATTTGTGTCTCTCATTGCTTATTGGGCCAGACTTGAACCTGGCAGCTGTCTTGCTGAAAATCCTGTAGCTTTTGTGGCTGTAGAAAGGACTTTCAAAACTAGTCTAGAACCCTAGTGTGTTCCTGCATCTGCAGGCAGCCTCAAATAGCTTCAGGGATGGTGGAAGCTACTCTTTGATGTGAGCCCTGCAGTAAGTCCTATCAGTGGGTTTGTACAGGCAGCAGAGGTGAGTGTTTTGGTGTTGGTCCTCCTGTTCCTTTTGATGCAGGGCTCCTATAGGAGAACAAAGTGTGGTGGAGCCCATTAGTGTTGATTCCTCAGCTCACTCTCCTCCCACAAAGTGCTGGCTGCCTGTGGGAGGTAAGGAGGGCTCCGGTTACTTAAAGCTGGGGCTGATGCGCTGCCACCTCTCATGCTGGGCCAGGGAGAGCCTGGGACAAGTATTTGAGTGCCCCTGGTACACTGAGAGACACTGTGCCAGAGCTGGGGTGCCTGGGGATGCCTCTGTGCCTTCCCCCAGGGAGCCCAGGCTGCTTGCTCCAGTTCCTCTGATGCCTTGTTCCTGGCCTTGATAACCTCTGTGTCAGTTCAGGTGGGCCCTGGTGCTGGATGCTGTTCGTTTTCCTCCCCCTCCTTTTTTCCCCATCCCAGTGTAACATTCCCGGCGGTTTCAGCAGGGAGCTGTGGAATGTCTCCTGCTCCCATAAGGCTCACCTGAACAAGCTGGGCATTGACAGTGCTCAGCTGAGCCACACACAGACAGGCAGGGCTCTCTGGTTTGGTCCCTGACCCCACAGGGGGAAGAAATAACAGGAGGTGAATGGTAACATCAAACAGAGCCCGGCCCAGCTTTCATCTCCCTGGCATGGCGTGGAGCTGGGGCAGAGGGAAGTTGAGGCTCTGGGGCTCCTGTCTGGGGGAGCGGTATCCTGCACAGTGGCAGCGCCTCTGGCATCCTATGCTGCATAGGTTGGTGGTGCAGGACAGAAAGGCCCTGAGATGCTGTGAATTTGGCCAGCACAGGTGGCTGGGTGGTCTCTGCCTTTTTCAGGAATGTCACAGCCCCTCCTAGGCCAGTCCCATGGGCATCCATGAGCAAACTGGCTGTGGATATTCATGCGGGGCCTGTTTTTGCACAAGCAGAGGTGGCATGGTTGTGGGGATCTCCCTGTCATCCCCTGGGTGCTGTATGTACACCAGGTTGCCACAAAAGCCTATGGCAGTGTGGTTTCACCCCGGGGCACGGGCATTGCCTTCGGCTGCTCTGGGTGTTGGTGTTCTGTGGAGGTGGTGCCCTCCCAGAGGTGGGCTCTGCCCCACTGGGTTTCTCAGCCCTCGGGTCACTGTCCATCTATCCTGGCACACTCAGCAGGCGGCTGGAGCCCAGGGACCTGCTGAGCTCCTGCTGTCACCAGCAGCCTGGCTGGGGCCACCCACGCCCCTGAGTGACCGTGGGTGCTTGTCTCCCAGCAGAGTACCCGCAGGGCCCAGTCCCCACCCTCTGGAACGAGCCATCCGAGCTGCCCTCTGGAGCTGGCCCCTTCGATGCTGCCACCACCACAGCCCAGCTCTCAGATGCCACTGCCTTCCCCCCGTACACTTCCGAGCTGGAGCCCGAGGACACAACTCACCTGCACCGGCTGGATGCCGGGGACGGTATGTGACTGCGTGATGGGCTGCCAGTGGGTTGCTCCTGCAGCGGCTCGGGACATCCTCACTGTGGATTTGCTCTTTATGGGTCTATTGCCTCCCAGGAGGCATTTGAGCTGCCAGAGGTGGCCTGTCCCCAGCCCACACTGCTGCAGGGGGGGAAGACTGCCTGTATCGCCTGCTCAGGGAAACTTCCCTGCCGAAAAGCCTCCTCTGTGGAGTGCTTGCCAGCCCCACAGCAGCTGCTGAGGCCTTTCTTCCTGCCCTGGGTCTGACCCATCATAGCAGTTACCTGCAGAAAGTGCCCCGAGCGCAGGCATGGCTCTCCAGGGCAAGAGCATGCCTAAAGTTCTTTAAACAGGGAATGTGAGCACCTTTCCTGGCTTCTACCTACAGCAAACACCTGCTGTGATGTGGTTCTGCAACAAGCAAAGCAACTCTCTGGGTGCAGGTGTTTAACAGGAAAGCCTGAGCACCAAAGACCAACTTTGTGGCAGCTGTCCTTGTCACCAGGAGCTGGTGAAGGGGAGGCAATGGCTGGCTCCAGCCCCCTGCCCAAGGGCTTGATGCCACTGGGGCACAGGACCACACCTTGGCTGTGTGGGGACATGGGACCAGGGCCACTATGGCCAATGCAGGGACCTCTGGGGCAGGAGTGTGGCCCGATGCCTGGGGACATGCTGGGTGTGGGGGTGATCCCCATAGCCCTTCGCATCTGGGACCCACTGGCCCTGCCAACCTCACACCACCTTGTTCTCTGTCCCTGCAGGCTCACTGGGGCCCGGAGCTATCGGTGCCATTGTCATCGCCTCCCTCCTGGGTACGTCTGTGCTTGTGGCCTTGGTCGTCATCACGCTGAGAAAGTTCTCGGCCTCCTGAACTCAATAAAAGATTTTTCTGTAACACAACCAGCCCGTCTCCTGCCCTCAACTGCTCCTGCTCTCCATCTGCCCAGGGCCCGCTGGGGAGAAACGCCGCTGTGGATGCGGCAAAGGGCACTCCAGCCTCTGTGCTGGGCAGCAGAGCTGCACCCCAAAAGCGCTCTTAGCGTGTGGGTCTCCTGGGTGCATGCACACCCGGCAGGCTCAACTACAGCAGGCAGTGTTGCCCCTGCCATCAGGAGGGACCTGCAGCAGTGAGTGACTTTGAGCCGGCAACAGCTCTTTTGGTCTAGCCTGGTGGTAACGGTGTTGGGCATCACCTTGCACAGCTTTCCTTGGGAAGGGTTGTTCTGTTGGTGTAAATCACCCCGATACTTCCCCAGTCTCACCCCACCCCATGTTCACGTTCAGCCCCACTTCCAGTCCCTGTGTTTGGGCTGGTTTCCCCCCACCAGTCGCACTGGAGGGGACTGGGGAGGAGGCGAGTGGGCCGGGGGGGGGGAGGAGGAAGAAGATGCACGCGTGTTGCTTTGGCACTGGCTCACTCAGCTATATTTCATCACACGGAAAAACGAGACAATGAGAAGTTCCCCTCAGTTTGCTGAGGCAGCCCAGTGGGGGCTGGGGGGGGGGCTCCAGCCCATGCTTGTGGGCCCCAGGCCTGGCCCTGTACAACACTTGAGACCACTGAAACAGAGGCGTGCAGGGCTGGGTCTGAGGAAATAACAATGGATGTCACTTGGTGCCTGAAAATGGCACAGCCTGTGCCTAGGGCCTGGGGTCCTAAAAAGTCACAACACAGCAAGAGGGTCTGGGGTGAGTCCTAGGGCTTGGCGGTGGGTTGTGGGACAGTGCACGGCAGCCCTGGGCCCCTCTCCCCCCAGAAGAACACAGTGAGGAACTGGCATCCTGGCACTGGGGACCCAGGGTCAGCCCCTCCACTAGCCAAAAGAGCTGTTTCTGATGGGTAAAGGAGCATTCCTGTGCAATGAGAAACATCCCAGGCAGGGCTGTGGGGCTGTAGTGCGTGGGCTGGGCTGGCCACTGTGCTGTGACGCTAGAGGATCTAGGATGTGGTGATTTCTTGGGTAATTTTAAGGATTTCTAGAGCTGGAGCTTCTCTGGGTTTTGCTATAGAGAATTTCTGGCTGCTGCAAGGTTTGGACCCTGAGCTGGAGGTTTGGTTGTACTTGGAAAGCTGATGGTGGGGTGCTGTTGGGGGGATCTCACTTGGAGTCTCCCCATTAAATGAGCTCGAAGTGCCAGACTGGAGGCTGTGGTCCCTTCCTGACCCCAGCTCTGGGCTGGGCACTGGCAGGTGGTTGGGAGCCTCTGGCTGGTGTGAGCAACCCAGAGACCTTTTCTCAGGGGTGCTACAGGTGGCCGGGACAGGCACAGCCTTGCTGGCTGTTGTCACACACTAATGTGGTGGCACTGAGCTAGGCCTGAGCAAGGAACCCCTTTGCTCTCCCTTCACTTGCTGTGCCTCCCACCAGCTTGGTCCTGGGGGCTGGCTGCAGCCCCCCTCCCAGTGCAGGGCTGACGCTGGGCTGGCTGTCTTAGGCCTGTGGTGTCTGTACAAACAGCCCCCAGGGCAGTCCCAGCCCTCCTGCAGCTGGGTCCGGCCTCATGCTGCACACCCTATGTGGTCCAAAGACCAGCTCCAGAGCCCCCCTCCAGCAGCACCCCAGTGTCCCACTTCCTCCCCATGTTGCCACTGGCATGGCTGTGCTCCTCTGCTCTGTGCGCGTGGCTGGTGGGTGGCTCTGTTGGCAGGCAGCTGTTCTCAATCCCCTTTTCAAGCACAACTGCTGAGCATACAGCAATGCAGGCCACAGCACCTGGAATACTCTCCAGTGTTACAGAAAGATGCCAGATAATTGATTTCCCTGATGGACGCTGGCTGCAGCTCGGGACCAGCCTGTAGGTAAGAGGCCCTGGGCTGTGGCCATGTGTGGGACTGTTCAGAGGTGGCTGCTGTGGGTCTGTCCCCTGTCTGGTCTCAGTGCTGTGCCCTGGGCTTCATGCGATGCTCAGTGCCACAGCTGGAAGGAGTGATGATCCAGCTCTGCTGGTGACAGAGGATTTGCGTACATACAGGGAGGTGAGCCTGTACAGGGAGTTTCTGTGTGCAAGTTGTGCGTGCAGCTGGATAGTGTGGGTTACAAGCATGCAGGCAGCGATCACTGGGCCTCGCACAGCATGTGGGACACCAGGTCCTGGGGTAATGTCCCTCGCCTGCTGCGTGGCAGCTCGGGTCTGCTGGTGCTCCCATGGTATGTGGTGGTGTGCGAGGAGGCACTGGGACAGCCACTCTGCTCCGTGCATCGGCAGCAGTGAGGAGCGGAGACTGCGAGTGCCAGATCAACTGGGAAAGGCTGCAGTGCCAGGCTTCTGCAGTGGCTCTGCGGAGGGATGCTGGCTGCAGAAGAGAGGGTGAGCCATGGGGCAGGACCCAGAGGTGCTTCGAGAGGCCATCAGGCAGGCAGAGACGTGGGTCAGGGCTGGTGAGGTTGGGCTGCTGATGGAGCAGGGCTGGGTATGGAGCATTTTGGAGCGTTTGGAAGAAGATGGAGGGTCTGCCCTTGGCAATGGGCCCAGCAGCTTCACAGCAGGACTGGGGAGGTGGAGTTGCTGGGGCTCATCCCAGCTTGGTGCCGACGGGCTGCATGAGAGGTGGTGAGATGGCTCCTCTGCTCCAGTTTCTACCCCTGTAAGATACCACTTTAGGAGGGCCCCAAACTCAAAATGTAGCAATGAGCTGTAAGTGCTCAAACTGGGCAACGTTAATTGCTTAGTCGCATTTGTGGACACATGCCTTTCCCAAGTGGCCTGAGCCAGCCCCAGCTAGCACATGTGCAGGGAACAGGGGTCAGCTGGCCAGCACCCGGTGGCCTTCAGACTGTGTCTGTCTGGCTTGTGCTCTTTGGGGCTTTACAGAACACCTGGAAATGGGTTATTTTAGCCAGTTCAAAGCACCTCCAGTGCTTTGTTCAAAGCTCAAAGTTCCTCCAGGAAAGGATCAGTGCTGTGGGAAGTGTGGTGGGGAGCCCAGGACCTACAGTCTGTTCAGGGGTGCGTGTGCCTGGTCTGCCACACCAGGTCCTGCACTGTGGCCCACAGCACCGCCGCCACATCTTCCCAGCCAGCAGGCTCTGTCCTCTGCCTCTCTCCCAGAGGCACTCCAGATGCTTGGGGATGCCAACGGTCATTGGCGGTTTCTGCTGCCCAGTTTCCTCCGCTGACTGTCATCCGACTTATGCACCCGGAAACACTCCTTCAAGTTCTGGGCTCGGATTTTGGGGTTCAGGATCTCCTCCCCCATAGAACTGGGGAACCAGCCCCTCTCCTGGTCATGAAGACGCTCCCCAAAGATCCAGCCTAAGCAGAGACAGAGACAGGCATAAATGGGGAAGGACTGGCCATTGCTCCTGCACTGGGACAGTTGTGCTGGAAAGAGCCTACAGACCTGGCAGTGTTTTCTGGAAGCTGCTCAGAGGCCTGTGCTGGAGTGGACCCAGTTGTAAATCTAGCCAGGGAGGCCCGCTTGCCTGAGCATCACTGTGTTTGGACAACTGACTCAAGGGATGCCAGCAGAAAGCAGGCACTGCTGCCACTGAGTGCCTTCTGCTGCCCCTGATGCCACTGGAGTGGGACCCAGCAGAGACCCAGTGTGACGGAGTCCACTAGCTGCAAGTGTGCCCCGGAGACCAGGACCAGGCAGCTGCAAAGCATCATCAAGATAAGAACATCTGGGTAACATCTAGGTTACATCTGGGGTGGCTGTGCTAGCCCTGCCATGGCCCACAGCCAGTGCCAGGGTGGCTGTGCCAGCATTGCCACAGCTCAGGGCAGCCTGCATTTGCTGAGTGTTAGGAGGAAACAGTAACTCCCTCCTCCTGCTGTAAGCTCCCTTGGCTGTGATGCTAGGGTCTCTCCCTGGCCAGAGGGTCCCTCCTGTCTGCTTGGCAGTGGCCTGCAAAGCCCACCCTTCCACAGGGACTCCCAGCCCAGCCCCATCCTATCCCCCATACCGTCGTCTGTCTTGTCCAGGATGTTGAGGATGTCAGCCAGTTCTAAGGACAGCTCATCTGGCTGCTGGGCCACGTATGGGTGGACACACTGGATCTGTGGGCAGTCTGCCAGGGAACAGGATGAGAGTGATGGATGGAGGGATGGACTGGAACAGAGCCTGCTGCAGGACAGTACGGCTCAGGTGGATTTAGCACCACGAGCTCTGTGAATGGTGTCTCTGACCCGGTAAGAAACCCTACGGACGGCAAGGGATGCCCCAGCCACAGGGACCAGGGGAGCATCGCTGTGGTGAAGGGAGCTGGGTGCACATCACCATTGCAGTGCCACCCATGAGCAGCTTTGGTGGCAGGGAGAGTGCTGGTGCAGCCCAGCCCAGGTTAGAGGGGAACAAGGTCAACAACATGGTGGAAATGCAAGGGGAGCCCAGGGAGAGGGTTCAGCTTACGCACAGGCCCCAGGCTTGGGGATGGACTGAGATTGGGGTAGAGTAAGGTGCCCTGGGGTAGGGGTGAAGAGCTCCTGGCTCCTATGCTGTGTCTCTTACCAACAAGTCTGGATGTAAATGAAACAAACTTGGTTCTCCGGTTCGGGGCCAGTGAAATCATCCAGCGCTTCATTTCGCTCCTGGATAGGGGAGACAAACCAAGGCTATGAGTGTGAGACAGTCATAGGGACCCCAGGTCCCCTGCCCAGCCAGCCCTGGGCTCCCAATTCTTCCTCCCCTGACCCTTTCCTGCCTACCGCTCCCCCCCCCAGGGTCCTGGACTCACTGGTGATGCTCAGTCCCCCTCTTGCACACACTGGTTGGGATGTCACACGTGCCACAGTGCCCTGGGCTCTGCTGCCCAGGCTGGCTGTCCCTGCAAGCAGCAGGATCCCCCTCTGGGGAGCAGCATGGCTTCAGAGAGCCAGCAGCAGGGTGGGGGGCCTGGCATCCTCTGAGCTCTAATCAGCAAAGGCAGC